ATATTATTGCATTTACAACCGTGATGGTTGAGTCAAGGCGCATTAGTCAATTTTACATCCTCTCAGTGGTCTATTTTCGAGTCAAAGTCTTGGAACAACTATAGAAAGTACTAGAGTCTCTTAATCAAAAACCTTACCTTTTCCATTTGCTAACATTTTTCATTGATGGACGCAATGAGATAGTTATTCACAGTACTTATTGCAATTGTGATTGATGGCTGGCAAAATTTTACAGCTGCAACGTTCACGAATATAAACAGTGCTTGAAAGGTAAAACTAATGGACTTAGATTAGTGCAATGCTAGCTGAATAGTCATAACTCGTTTCTAGGTTTCGAATGTTCAAAAGGATTCATATGCAGTGCCCTCCTACAGTTTTGTAGTTCGAATCAGAGGTGCGATGGGGGGAGCCGGGCCCACCAAAAGTGAAGGTGGTCCCAGCTTCCACTGGCCGGCCAAAAGTGAAGGTGTGCCGGACACTCACCTCCCAAAAACGTCGACCGGATGGGGGGGGGGGGGAGCGCTAATGTCGACTGATTCTATCCTTCCAAGTCGTTGCCGCCGGTGCGCGGAAAATAAGCAAAACAAATGCAAAAGAGACATTCAAAGCATATTTTTTATGTATACAACGGCATAAATATCTAATATAAACGTGTTTAGAAAATAGTGTGTTTTGAAGTGAAACTCAGCGAGAATTTACAGATTTTACTGAGTAAATTTTCTTATGACGTACTGCAAAGAAAGTTGGTCGATCCAGGCAGTGACCGCCGAGACCCAGGATTTCGAATGATAAAATAATTAAAAATCGTGAAAAATCATTCCACTGTTACAAATCTGCTGGCTGAAGACCTCCGCAGTTGCGACTTCATAGGTTTTGAAGGGTAAGTGTTGTTCTACCAGACAGTGAAAGAATCAGTTTGATCTAAGGAGTGTTTGAAAAACCTTGAAAATCTTCTCAATTTCAGGCTGCTTAATGACAACTGACATTTTAACTCTTATAAATCCGGACCTTGAACGTGTGTGATGTTGCGACTTCATAGGTTTTGTAGGGTGAGGTTTGCCCTATCAGAATATTTCTTAGCTGTACCGACCCATTGAAACATCGCCGAGATCCAGGCTCTTATAAAAGTAGGTAAAAAACCGTTTTTCAGCTCATAACTTCTTCAGAATTGCATAATTCATGTTGCGACTTCATAGGTTGGATTCTCCTCTTCAAGAGCCTTCGGATGATATACAATATGTGGGAGATTCAATGTTTCTTGCGGCTCCACCCCGGGGTGGAGTACTTCTCTTCACTAATTCTCCACCCAATCCATTTCAATGTATTGGCGGTAGGCCGCCAGTGGAGAATTAGTAAAGAGAGGTACTCCACCCCCGGGCATATGCCGTGGGAGGCGTGAATCCCCCACATATTATATACCATTTGAAAGCTCTTGAAGAGGAGAATCCAACCTATGAAGTCGCAACATGAATTATGCAATTCTGAAGAAGTTATGAGCTGAAAAACGGTTTTTTACCTACTTTTATAAGAGCCTGGATCTCGGCGATGTTTCAATGGGTCGGTACAGCTAAGAAATATTCTGATAGGGCAAACCTCACCCTACAAAACCTATGAAGTCGCAACATCACACACGTTCAAGGTCCGGATTTATAAGAGTTAAAATGTCAGTTGTCATTAAGCAGCCTGAAATTGAGAAGATTTTCAAGGTTTTTCAAACACTCCTTAGATCAAACTGATTCTTTCACTGTCTGGTAGAACAACACTTACCCTTCAAAACCTATGAAGTCGCAACTGCGGAGGTCTTCAGCCAGCAGATTTGTAACAGTGGGATGATTTTTCACGATTTTTCATTATTTTATTATTCGAAATTCTGGTTCTCGGCGGTTACTGCCTGGATCGACCTACTACATAGATATATGCTCTTAATACTTTCTTTTACATTCCTTTTGCTTATTTTCATTCTTTTGAGCTTTAGCAAAAAAAATTTTCACGCAAAAGTGAAGGTGGTCACCCTGTACCAGCTCAAAAGTGAAGGTAAGCGGAGAATCGGCTCTGACTATCGCACCTCTGGTTCGAATTCGAAAAACGCAAACTACGTGCCTGTTTCACAAAGTCAAGCGTTTTCAATTGCACTTGTAACGTATAGTGACCGCCAAAAAGCTGCAGACAAGCTTCTCTCCCTTTTTCATCGCTCTTTCTCAGAGGGAAAACAAGGATAAAAAAGGTAGTAATTGCATGATTGAAAGAGCTCTTCAAGATCTACAATCTACACCTTGCGTTTTTCGAAAAACATGTAATCTAAAAATTCTAAAAAACTTTTTAAAAAAAATCCCAAAAATGGCCTCGTCACAATGTCGCGGACAATAATTCTTCGAACGCAAAAATTTTCTTTTGAGTCCTATTCTAAAGCAGAAACACAAGTAATCCAAACGGGTAAGCATACTACTATAAGAGCTCGTCAAGAACCACACACTGGTTATGATTGCTTCCAAAAAAAAACACAAGCTTGAGTTTTATTTTGCTTTTTTTCTTTAAATAACTTCTAATTCCCTTCTTCAAACCAAATTCCTTCACACGCAAACCTATCCAATACATCTTAACAAAGCCATTTGGATAAAATGGATGCTCTTTGAGATTCTCTATGCATCGGACGTGTGCCGATGAGTTTCTTTGCTGAAAATGGCTCTTGGCAGTGCTTGCACATGACCCCACCTGCACCTCACCACTGACTTGTACCGCTTTGCAGGCTTGTAACTCGGCTTGCGTGAGCCCTAGGTTAGGCTTATTCGAAAGAACGAGACTTTCTCCACTCGATGGTATGCAAAAGAGATAGGTATAAGAAACAGCGGAGATTGGGCGGATGGGGTGGAAAAACGCGGCCTCGGTGGTGGTTGGAGTGAAGGCTATTATCAACACCAAAACAGTTCTAAAGCTTCAAATTGGATCTATTACAACAACATTGACAGTTTTAAACTTCCAGGATTGAACTGGTAACGAAATAAGCTCTGTTGAACTTTAGCTGGATATCCTCACCCTACCACTGAAGCTGCGTTTTTTCGCCCCATCCGCCAAATCTCCGCTGTTTCTTATACCTATCTCTTTTGCATACCATCGTGTAGGGGAAGTCTCGTTCTTTCGAATGAGCCCAACCTCGGGCTCACACATTGACCACAAGCCGAGTTACAAACCTGCAAAAGCGGTACAAGTCAGTGGTGAGGTGCAGGTAAGGACATTGCAAGCACTGTGAACCATTTTTAGCAAAGAAACTCATCGGCACACGTCCGATGCATAGAGAATCTCAAAGAGCATCAATTTTATCCAAATGGCTTTGTTAAGATGTATTGGATAGGTTTGCGTGTGAAGGAATTTGGTTTGAAGAAGGGAATTAGAAGTTATTTAAAGAAAAAAAAGCAAAATAAAACTCAAGCTTGTGTTTTTTTTTGGGAAGCAATGATAACTAGCGCGTAGTTCTTGACGAGCTCTGTATAGTAGTATGCTTACCCGTTTGGATTACTTGTGTTTCTGCTTTAGTATAGGCGTCAAAAGAAAATTTTTGGGTTTGAAGAATTATTATCCGCGACATTGTGACGCGGCCATTTTCGGAATTTTTTTAGAAAGAGTTTTTTAAAATTTTTAAAATACATGTTTTTCGAAAAATGCAAAGTGCAGATTGTAGACCTTGAAGAGCTCTTTCACCTCATGCAATTACTACCTTTTTTTATCCTTGTTTTCCCTCTGAGAAAGAGCGATGAAAAAGGGAGGTAGGCTTGTCCGCAACTTTTTGGCGGTCACTGTATATAGTGCAAACCAACGGCATAATTGGAATCGGAATAATTATTTAGAATATTTACGCTTAGATCAACCCGATTACTTTCAAAACGGTGCGCACATTGAGAGTGTATTTCAACCTTTTTTCATGGCGTTGCGATATTCTCGGAATACAATGGTACTTGAGCATGAGCGACGAGCGGCACACTTTTCGTATGAACAAAATAGGCTGTCTTAATGTGGGTGTTCAAACTCCAGTGGCTCGGATCCCGCGCGGCCGCCTCGCTCGGCTTCGCACCGCGTTCGAGAGTGCACCCTATGGACATTTTTTCACGCCTTCTAGCCTTCAACTGCCTCAACCGTGGGAAAATGCCAGGAGGCTACACGCGCTAATGCTTCGCTAGACCTGAGCTGGGTTTCGACGTCTCGAGTCACTAAAGCTATGATACACTGGAACAACCTGTACATACCTTGATCTGCATACGGGTGGTGGGTCATAACTACCGACTAACTGAGTGCCTTAGAGCGCATGGACCCGTACCGCTATTCTGAGCTTTTGGTGGTTCGAGTAACGCCTATGGTTCACAGATGATTAGTGTAATTAGAGGGTGATGTCGCGACATTTTGCACAATTCTCGTGCACTCCAGCGTATTTTTTCAGACGCACAAAAAACTTCACTATTTTCATGTGTTGTAAGCGATAAGCTTTGCGTGAGATATGACGCAATTGTCAGGCTTATCGATCCGGTGGGGGTTTTGAATTTGGGGCTGGAAATGTTCTTACGATTGAACTTTGAGAAATTGCTGCACTAGTGGTATGAGCACGAAGTTATCATATCAGCTAATGAATAAAACATGATGAACTTTTGCATATGTAGCCGTCTTGGATTGACTTATCATTAGTGACGAGCCAAGTGAATAACTCAGTAGAACTCTCCAAGAGTTACAAAAAGCCCTGCTTTGCATTAGTATCCGCATTTTTTTATCACCACAAGTTCCATAAAACTATGAAAAAGAATTTGAAACGATTTTTTGTTGACATGTTTACACACGAAACACTGTGAGATATGGTAGGTGGGCGGTGCAAAGCGCTGTGATAAGGTGATGCTGAGACAGATGCCATTTCTTGCAGAGGCATGTCGTTCAATCAATATATCGATTACCCATGCGCACCCCTCTCACTCCGCAGCATTCACATATCCTTCAAAACTTTCTCTTTTCAGGTGTTAATCATGGATCAGATGCGTAACTACAAAAATCCTTGCGAATCCTCGTCAAGGAATTTTACAAATTTTGGATTGAGCGCAGTTTATGCTGCAGTTCATACGTTCTTCGGTAGAACTGGTTTTCTCGAATCACCAAAATGTAGGTTGGATCCATCGATTGGATAACTTATACATGACAGACCAAACATTTAGATGTTCTCGATGAGCGACCGAAACGAATGGCTTCACGACTTATACAGCTTTCCGATGAATTCGACAAAGAGCTAATGCCCGTTAGTTTTTGAGAATTTTATTTCATCAGCATCTACGCAATTTTTATTTTCAGGATGACCGCTGCACCTGCCATATTCTCTCGTATCTCTTGCTGCTCGTACGATGGCTGATCTGCTATTGATTGAGCACCACTGTCATAGTCAAGATTCTGTAGAGTGTATATTCTTCAAAGATCTTAATTATGGACACTTGTGTTTTATTATTTAAGCTTTGTACACATAGAAGATTGCTTGTATATACTTGTCTAATGAAGCTGTATATTTATGAACAGTGCCTATTCACAGAAGATAGAAGTAGAAGTCCTCAATATTTAAGATCCATAATCTAGCGTGCGGTAATCTCAGTGACGTCACGGCGTCCCTTCGACCTAACAGGAAATTTAAGTTCAAAGTTGACATGTCAAATTTGAAAATGGGCGCGTGACAGTTCTGGCTGATGACGTCGCAGTAGAACAAGTGAAGCCCACCAGCGATTTCTTCAAGTAATGCTGTCCTCCCCCCCCCCCCCATCGCCGGTGCACCCAAAAAACAGCAGCTGTGCTAAATTATAAAATTGTCAAAAAATACATGAAACCATAAAGTTCTTCATTTTCTTGAGTGGCAAGATAGCATGATAATTTCATGCTACGTTAACAAAGTGCATAGCATCGCCAATTGAAGAGAGGAATGTAAGGCGTTAACGGATGCAATATTTTGAAAAAATGCTGTTACAATTATGGTATTAGTCAGCTTATGAGCTAAACAATGGGTAAAGGGTCTCTCCACACTTGGAGACAATCAAATTATTCAGCCAAGATGAATTTTTATCTACTATAGGAAGCAGAATATGATGGTAAAACATGCCCGTTAGAGTAATTCGTTGTAATAAATTACTTTCTAATTTGCATACGCAAATTCGATTTCGTTTAGGAATAAGCACCTCATTAATGCTCCACCGGCTGTTTCTATTGATATGTAGCTGATTTTTGGCACCTACAAACATGCTTCATTTAATTTCATAGAATTGGTTGGCGAAAGTACTGATGCGGAAGCGGCAGAAAGAAATTGGAAAGATTTTTTTTGGTTATGCTCTTTATTTATGCTCTGCTCCATTACCGCCACAAATAAGGGATAGTTTACCAGAGAACTATAAAGCATGCTGCGAGAATCAAAATCTATAGGAGTAATATGTGCAAGTCCGAAATATGCAAAAATTTTCGTCGATAAGCTTTGCCTGCGCAAGCGATATACAGGATGTTATGTGGAGTTGCATGATCGGAAAGAGCTAAAAGAATACTTCACAAGCGGAGCCCAGGTCTCGGCACAAATCGTCTGGAAGCAGGCTGGACTTCGTTTTCGGAGCAAAAAGGCAGAGGGGATTCGTTTTTGTGGATCCGAAAAAACACAAAAACTAGCAAAAACCAGATTTTTTAGTCAACGTTTCCAATGAGGTTCAAAGGAGACTTCGTAAAATTTTGCGAAAATTAGAAGGGGGCTTCGTTTTCAAATAGCCCAGAAAAGGACTCGGGCCGGGTACATAGCGTCCACTATCCTCGGTCGCTTCCGTTCTCGTGTTTGAAAGATTTTCTACAGTATAGCAACCTTTGCAACGGTGAAAAAGCAAAGTAAAGCAGATTTATTCACACGTGCACTTTCAAATGCTCCAAACATTCAGCTTTAAATTTCTGAAGCCTGAACGCTGTTTGCTAAAGCATGCAAATAAGCATAGAACAATGACTTCGATACTCTCGATTTGCTGCATTTGAACATGTCGACACAAAGAGAAAACAAGGAATGACTTACGAAGATGGAATTTTGCAAAGAAGATGTGACGAGAATATAATAGAATACTAACATGTAATGAATATTTACGCCAGAGGGACTTGGAACCACCAGCTATTTGAATGCTACCTCTTATATTACAAAGGGACAACAGAAATGAGTAACAATGACAAACCTCAGACATTCTTTGGTGCTACCATAACAGCATCGAGTAGATTCGCTTATATAACATGCTACAGCCTGATTTACTTTGTAATTTATGCGTCTGCCCTTTTAAAACTTCCATTGCAAGGCTTTATTTTATTCAAAAGTCGTAGCTGCGGTTAAAGTCTTACATGAAGTGCGCAAATATGATAGAACGTTGGATTTTTTACTACCACACAACGTTCATATTGCCCAGAATACAGCAAATCACAAAAAAGCTTGAGAACCAGAGATATGAGGTTGAGGAAAGAGAGAGAAGAAATAGGACTTTTGTTTCAGTTCCCTGACGTTTAAAAGTTAAGGTACAATTTTTAAGGAAAATAGGGCCAGGGCTCGGCACAGGTGGCTTATAAGTAAGCTGAATACCTTTTTTGGGGCAAAAAGTGAATATTGTTTTTGTGGCCGAAAACACTACATAGGTTACGTTTTTTAGTCGACATTTTTGTTTTTTTTGGGGGGGGGGGGGTTTACGTTTACGGTTTGGGGTCAAAGGAGACTTAAAATTCTGCCAAAGGGGGACATCGGTTTTTCCATTTTCAAAAAGGCACCGTGCCGGGCTCCGAATAGGGCGTCCGCAATTTTCATCTACGAATGTAGGATACAAACATAGGACCAACAAAGAGTTGGCCGAAGAATAGAAGAAAGCGTGATAAGATAAGACTCGACAGATACTCGACTTCGCCAGCTTCAGTTTCCGACAGAAAATTCGGAGAAGGTCTGGTAAAACCCTAAATTTGCTGCCAAGTGTAAATGTTGTACTGACTTCTTTAAAAAAAAGGAATCATAACATGCGCACCTAATATAGTGCAAAAATGTCCCTTAACTCTGGAATGGGCGTTGAATGGTCAATTTATTTGTTAGAGTAATAAGAAGACGAAGGTACGAAAGCGCTGAATTACTTCCCTTCATTTACTCATTTGAGATAACTCGATTCTCGGCATGAAATCGCTGGATCAAGTGCCCCATTAGGATGAGTAATGAGTTCTTAAAAGAGATGCAGAAGGAGCCACTCATAAATTGTAGAAATACCGTGGTCATCACACGGATTATCGCTGTTTTAAGCTAACGATGGGGTTAGAGGACTATATCTCGGCAATTGGGAGGGTCTCGCGCGGACACTCAGCCTGTGCATGTATTGAAATGTGTATTTGTTGTAGTTGTCCGGCGAGACCTTCCACTTTCGGCGACATATAGTCCCTACCGCTAACCTTTCTCTTAGTCTTCTACTTTCGTAATCTTCTATCGCTGACTCATGACAAGACGTCCAATGGTCCGGCTACAGTTTAAATTACCACGGTCGCAGTGATGATTGATGGCGGCCGTTCTTAAGTCGTGTTCTCTATTTATAAGAGCGGTCGACTGAGCTGATGAGGCATCCATTCAGCGAAATTCATGTCTCTTTGCCCTCAGACCACATGAGTAACAAAGATCATTTTGCTGTTAAGCTATACATTACATCATTGCTTACTAACATACATTTGGATTCCTCAAATACTGGACTGCAACATCACATTCTGCGTTTTATAGGCAAAGTTCTCTAAGGGAGCCTCCAGACCGCGCCGGGACCGCACCGGTTGTCGCTTTTGCAGCCGGTAGCTGCTTTCGCGCCGGTTGCCGCTAGTGCAGCCGAAGCGCACTGTGTCAGATTTTGTCCTTGGAGCGTAACGAGAGCCTATTGGCACTAGATGCTAGGCTTTTCGATTCCTTTGCCATCACTTGTTTCCAAAGTTCTCTTCTTTGCTGTAGTAATGCACTGCAGATATGGTTCATTTATTCTGGATTCCGTTTTTTCGGTCGTCTACGATGCTGGAAAAATCGATTCATTGTCGAGTGAAACCCTTTCAGTCTAGATCCCGCTGTAGAGCTATTGCAAGGCAAGGCCTTTTCGACGTCTTTCTCGTTTTGAAACTGGTTTACTATGCTGGATGAGCAAGTTGCAAATGTACTTTCTTTGTTTTTGAAGCCATTTCATCATGCCGTAAGAGCGATTTAGCTGCAGAGCTCAAATTCTCTGTACTATTTTTGCTCTTGGTACTTCACTACGCTGATTAACGATCTATTCCAAAGCTGAGTCATTTGGTGCCTTCTCCTTCTCCATTCAAGGTATATACCGTTTACTTCAGCATAGTAAAATAGCTAACCTTGAGTAGTTAAACGAAACTTAGATCAGTAAGTGTACCTTCAAACCTAGTAAAGTAGCTTTGAAATTAGAAAGTGCAAAAAATAGCGTTTTGCGACGATATCATCCACTCAGCACAGTAGACCAACCTTAAGTCGGAAAAGGCATCGAAAAACCTTGCCTGCACAACACACAGCAGAGCAATATCATCAAAACGAAAGCTGTGCAAAAAAGCAGCGTTCCGCAAAGATTTACGAGCTCCCAGGTTTGAGTGGAGGCAAGTGTGGGCTTTCTCTGTTTTCAATGATAAAGTTAACGAGAGAGTACGAAAAACAATGCTGCATGAAGTCTCAACAAGTTCACACATTCAGGAAAAGCCCGCAACCCGATGACTCTTGATAGAAGTAGCATAGCTTCAAAACTAAAGACAAATTTGAAGAAACTTTGTTCTCTACGAAATCGATCAACCACCGTAAAAGAATAGCCTGGAAATGAATGAAAGACAAAACGCCGTTCATCACTTTTTTTGCTTAAAGAAACAGCTCTACAGCAGGAGGTAGATTGAATATCCGACAATGAGTCGATTACTCCAGCATAGTAGAACCTGCATGAATACTTACGGAAAGAAGAGGACCTGGGAAACAAAAGAGTGGTGGCAAAAGAATAAAGCCTAGCATTTAGTGCCAATAGGCTCTCGCGACGCTCCAAGGACAAAATGCGAGACGGTGCGCTTCAGCTGCAATAGCGGCAACCAGCGCGAAAGCAGCTACTGACTACAAAAGCGACAACCGGCGCGGTCCCGGCGCGGTCTGGAGGCTCCCTAACTGCGGTACCCTTGGAGCATAGTATCATAACATGCTGGAGCTTTTAACTAAAGCACTCTGTCCTGAAATTCACTCTCCTCAACTCATAAAAACTACGGTAATCACAGAATTTTTGTACACGAAGAGACTTTTCCAGCTCAAGGTTTCCAGTCATGAAGCTCAAGTTTTTGCATGCAGAGCAAATTGCGCAAATATGGGAAAATTTTGAGGGATG